TTTATATAATATTTCACATGTAATTAGAAATTGATTTTAAAAGAAAATATAAATGTTGATAACTACAAACCAATAATATTTAAACCTCATTCAATGCGTTATAAATAGCTTTTGTGGGCAATAATATCCAAACGGCAATAGAACTTAAAAAGAAGCCATAAATCCAATCATAAATTGGATTCTTTTGGATAAAATTGAGTTTCTGTTGTCCACCCGTTCTTTCTTTACGTTTTTCAATCATATCCTTCGGAGCTTTTTTCAGATCATACGCCCAACCGATTGCGTGAAACAAATCAATGAATGCTGTGTTCACATTGAAATTCACATCCCATCCAAATTCACTCTCAGAATAATCCCATGGATAGACGTGATGGTAGTTATGGTAAGCACCTAGCATGGTCAATTATTATCAATTATTATACAGCTTATATAATAATATTATTTTACCAAAAAATACATTAATTCTAATATTGTATAATTTATATTTGTTATAAATTACATATCACTTCACTTATCAAACATTTACTCTAATAATATTATCAATAAAAGAGTGCAAACCTCCTAATGTGGCATATATTAAATGATCGTTGTGTACTGAAGTCATAGACTTGTCATATGGTTTTGATCCATAATTTATATGCGCCAATGAATTGCCTGTTTATTAATATGTAAAACAAATTAAAAATTTTATAACATAATATTCATTTTATACCACAAAAGGATAGTTGAAGAGTGTATGCATAGCGTATCAGAAAACACAAATGAAAACTGTTAACAATTGTTTCGTTGAATAAATATATGGGAATTAATGTGGGAATTATGATACAAAAGACGGCAACCAATGGTTCGTAATAATTGTATTGAAAGCGTACGATAGGATCGGACCAAAGATAGTCGACATTAACATTGGATCGCTTTTGTTCGCATTCCGGATGTCTCTTAAGCATAAGCCATCCCATATGCGCGAAGAAAAAGCCACGGTTTATGTTAACCGCATCGGCATTAGTGCCCTCATACTTATGGTGGGTGTGATGATCGCGAGCCCACTCTATCAATGTCTTTTGACCAGAAAGTGTTTGCAATACAACTAATATCACTCTTAACGGCCACTTGGCTTTAAATGCCTTATGTGTGCCGTAACGATGGGCTGCAGTTAGGGTTCCGATGTTTGACATCACACCTGCGAACACAATATTAATACAGTACATTACAAACATTACAATATATTGCAATATTGTTAAATCATACCCAATATGTAAGTCATTACAATTGTTTGCCATTTCGAAGATGTTATACACAAATATACTCCATAAACAGCTCCGATGTGCACATATATTAAGGATAACGATTGTAACCATAATATTTGAGATA